ATTTCTCGTTGAGCAGTTTCACGCTTAGGAGTAATAGCATCGATTTCATCGATGAACAACAGACATGGTGCTTGTTTCTAATGTCAAAAAATGCAAAAATTTCCAGGGTATTAATTTTGAGAGAGGTGATGTTTTGCCATGATTTTTTTTTTTTTGATGGTTGGATTGTTGAGCTCACAGTACAGAGCTTTGATTAGATTCGAAGACTGACAGTAGCTTGTTCGAAGATGTCCCTGATCGCCTTCTCACTTTCGCCACTCATTCCACTGACGATGCTAGTACTGGAGACGTTGATCAGTCGGACGCCCAACTGATTTGCGATCGCATTCGCCAACATCGTCTTTCCGCAACCTGGAGGGCCGCATAGTAGGAGTCCTCTGATTGGTTTGAGACCGGTAAATTCGAATATCTCTGGATGAAGGATTGGCAGTCCGATCAATTCTAATAGTCTTTCTACCGTTCCATCGATCCCACCGAGATCTGAGAGGGTCACTGAAGGGGTTGTATCCTTGATGAGTGATGATGAGGAAGGGTTTCCGCTTTGCTTTGAGTTGCTGAATGCAGATTTGGTTCGCTTGATGGTAGTTGGTGAATGAGTTGATTGATTGGTGATTCGATTGAGGTTTTCATGGGTTGAGTTGAGTTTCCTCTTTGAGGTTGAGGATGTAGTAGGATGTTCTGAATGGGAGTGATCGATTGTGAGTTTCTCCTGGTTGGTAGTTAGTTCGTCGGTTAAGTTGATAGTTGTTGGTGTGGTAGTACTAGTTGTTGCTGTTGCTGCTTCGGTGGTGGTGGTGGTGTTTGTTGGTAGTGGGGTGCTGTTGAGTGAGATATGGTGTTTTCGGTATGCTCCCATGATCTGTCTGTTGAGTAAGTTGCCAGTTGAGATCGGAGTGGAGTTCATCTGGGTTGGTTGGTTGCAAGCTGAGTGTTCCTTAGTAGAAACAAAAAAAAAGTGGGAAAGTGTTGGCTTGAAGTGGGAATTTGTGGAGCCCCTCAACCACAAGATGCATAACCCTTAACCACACAAGCCCCTCCTTGCAGACCAAAAACCATCTGCATTCAAGTCACACCAATCAACCTGTGCAGCCAACCATCCCACTGTACTAGCTCAACTTTTCTGTTTTAAATCACACAAGGAGCCGGTTTGAATTATCATCAATCATTTCATCTTTGTGGATCTATGTACTCACAAGCAAATTCAAACACAGCCTACAGGTGCAGTAGAACTGGACAACTTCCTGTCCAACCTGGAGCCCCTTCAAGCATTGGTTCAGTCCCAGAAAGCACACATGAGTTTCGCATTGATTGGACCATGGCACCCCCTTCTCCCCTATCCTAAGTGATTACTGGTCCAAGAAACTCTTGAATCATCCAAATCATAATGCAAAGGTTGGAGAGATATGTAGTAGTAATTTGCTTGATCCTTGTTGAGCTGGTTGTAAATTCCCCACCAGCTCACTATAAAGGAGTTCATCGAAATCCAAGTCCATTCTTACTAGCCTTACCGACACCCGCATAAAACTGGGCAGTGCGCTCGTCGCGGTGAGCCGAGTTTTATGCGCGTACGGGAAAGAGATGGGAGGCGTGGCACGCAGGGCCAATGAGGCCTCCCTTCTGGTCGGACAGGTAGTAACTACGGATTGTATTGTATGCAAATGGATAGGGGTGTTCTCAAACACAAAGCCAAACACAAAGCCCAAAGCCTCAAAACCCCCGAAGGCCCTAAAGCCGCCTAATAAGGGTGGGTGGGTGGTCACGAAAAGGGAAACGCACTTGCGTTTGGTGATGAGAAAGAATCAGAGAGATTAGCAGAGACGCGGTGACGGCTATGGTTAGCTACGAAGTCTATCGAAGAAGATGGGGGATACTGGGGGGGTCGTAAAGGTCCCCACTCTTATCCCATCTTCATGAGCAGATTCTTAGTGAGGCTGTCATAGCGCAGGGTACCCGCCTAGGTCTGTGCGCTCTGGACCAGCCTGGGTTTATCGCTAGCCGGCTGTTCCCCATGGACGACGGTGACAGGCTTGCCTTCGTCACTTCTCATCCATTCTTACTAGCCTTACCGACACCCGCATAAAACTGGGCAGTGCGCTCGTCGCGGTGAGCCGAGTTTTATGCGCGTACGGGAAAGAGATGGGAGGCGTGGCACGCAGGGCCAATGAGGCCTCCCTTCTGGTCGGACAGGTAGTAACTACGGATTGTATTGTATGCAAATGGATAGGGGTGTTCTCAAACACAAAGCCCAAAGTCTAGGTTTCCTCAGGGGAGCCTTGATCTGTGGAGAGAAAAAACCCCTAACGACCCTGGAAAAATCTACAGAGAACAATCGCGCGTCAAGATTCCATCCGTGTCCAACTCCGTTTGAACTGCTTAACAAGGGCTTTAGTCTTCGACAGGTCGCCCGAGGAGTACTCTCTGAGATATAACTTGTAGCAGTCTGATTTCCATCGACCCAGTAGGCAAATGTCGGCGTGCGACATGCCAAAAGCCGCGCGGAAGGATGCGCCTCCTACCCTGAAGGAGTGTCCTTTGAGGCCTGTGAAACCGCCGCTTGCCAGCACGGATTCCAAGCGAGCGACCGACTGGGTCCTGGTTAAGTGTCGCCTTCGTTCACCCGACCCGTAGCCAAATAGTGACGTCCTCGACCCTTCTGCCGAAGACAATCGACGTCTTATGGCTGTGACCGGGCACAGCACATGCTTTTGCTCAGCGAGCGTGACTAGTTGTGGGCGCCCTGGCTGGCCCGTTTTGGTGTTCCGCAATGTTAGAGTTGCCGTTTCCCCGAACACGGCGTCCGCTCCCAAAGTCACGTCCGTTGTTAACACTGAGCTCACAAAATCCAAAACACCACCTCCCGTGGCGTAAGTTAGCTCTGCGAGTCGGGCTAGCCCCCAGAATGCGACGATCGCCAAGTCTAACAGCGCCTTGTCGAAATCGTCCCCGTGTACCAGGTTGACCCACAAGTACGACATATGCCAGAACATAATTGGGGACTTAGCAGGTTGCTTCGTCAATGTTTCGTCCTCCCTACTCGACGCTTTCAAAATCAGATCTATCCGCGTTTTGTTGACGGTCGGGAAAGCGACGTCGTGGTATACGTGCCAGGCTTTCAATCCTGCGATGTACTTTCGCAGAGAAGATGCAGAAATTTTCCCTGCGTTTGAGGTCACTGCGTTTCGCCCGGCCCAAATGCAAAACTCTTCAAGCGTTTTCCCTGTGATCGGCAAACGGAAAGATATTATCCCGCCACTCTTCTGGAACTGGATGAACTTTGTGACTGCGCTGTTATAGCTTGTCAGGGTTGAGGATTTCCACGCTGAAAGTATATGGATGTTGGTTCTTGTGGGTTGTTTTATTTCTGTACCATCGCGGAGGAAAAAATTGATTTTATGGAAAATAATATCGCTAGGTCTATTGGATAACATTTGTGCTACACGGGGGGAGATGTGAAAAACGATGTCGCGATGGGAGGTAACAAAACCGCAACAAAAACGGCTCTTGAGGGACATGGTTATATTTACAAGTGACAATAACTGTTACGCGTGAAACATGAAATGCTGAAGATCGTCGGGAATGTTTATCCAGACCCTGTTCACCGCCTCGTGAGGGCGTCGCACGCCTCTTGATAGGCCGTCGGCCACGTTTTCCTTAGAGACCACCCTTAAAGGGGTTCAAGTTCTAATTTCGGATGAAATCAGCAGGTGCTGTATTATCTTCCATTCCTCGTTAGAATGGTGATCCTTCGACTTCCTTGACGCTAGTACGTTTTCTGTGGTGGTGTTGTCTGTATATACGATGAAGTTGGACCCCTTTATGTTATTGCGCGTTTCTCGTAGCATCAGGATTCCGATGCGGATAGCGACAGTTTCCAACCAGGCTATCGTCCTTGGTGGTGTCGCGATCCTCCAGTCTTCCTTCAACCTAAGTTGGGTCCATCTCTGGCCGATCAAGACACCTATACCGAAGCTTGTTGAGGCATCGCCGACCCAATGTACCTCTAGTGGTTTGCTGGCTGGGCACAACCTCGTCTCCGTGTAAGTGTCCAGAGTTGATATCCAAAATTCTAAATCGACTCTCACGTCTTCTGGAATTTTCCTAGTGGCCCATTGCTTCTTCCACTGGTTCATCCATCTGTATATGCTCCGAATGTAGCACCTCAACTGTGGTAGGATGAAGGACACGTGGTTAAGGCGGCCTGCGAGTACTTCGGCGTCGTTGAACTTGAAATCTGCGTCTTGAATGAGGAACAGCTTTATTTGCTCTTTTCTTTCCGCTAACTTCTTGTCTGTTAACCTGACCGTCTTGTTTTCTCCGTTCCAGATAAAACCAATAAATTTTTGTTCGTCGGCGAAATCGGAGCATTTCTCTAGACTAGTTGACACACCCAATTTAATCGATCTATTGGTGATGTCTTTCATTTTACATGACGAACTGTTACTTTTGATGAAAAGGTTATCGTCCACCCATCTAAATATCTTAATAACGTCAAATTCGTGCTCCATGATGCGTTTCCACGCGTCCGCGGGTACGCCAAAAGAGCCGCACCCAGCGACCCCGCCAAAAGTGATTCGGGTGTCGACGTAAAGTCCTCCACTTGAGTCTTTCACCATTAAAAAAGGCCATTGTGACATCTGGGTCGGGATTTGTCTATACGCTTTAGCCCAGTCAAACAATGCAAGCTTATAAGTATTTTTATTGTTCCTAAAAAATGACGATACGGTTTTGAAATCGTCCCATGTTGTCGGGAAATCTAGTTTGTCCACAAAGGAATTAACGGACTTGATTTCATCATCGTTTTTTGGGTAGGATAAATTATTAATTGGCCGCATTTTGCCGTCGGCGTTTACGACTGACCCTAGGGGGCTGGTCCTGAAGAAGGAAAATTTTTGTGCGACTTCTTCATGTGAGTATGGGCCGAACATTCGGCCTGCCTTTACTTCTTCTTTGATTGAATTTTGGATTTTTTCTGCTACCTCGCTAGCCGAGGAATGGTTGTCTGGCGTGTACCATCTCAAATCCCCTATTTTGTGGACAGGTATACCTTGATCGAAACCGCACTTGAAACCGTCAAGAACATGGTTTAATTCTGGCAATAACCTTGCGTTCTCAAGGGCCATATGCCATTCTATCAAATTCATTTCGCAACTTATTTGAGTAGGCCAAAAGAATCTATATTTCGTAACACAAACAGGAATATAGACAAATATGTGTTTTATGATAATATTAAAAATTGTTTTGAAACACCGACAACTAACAAAAACATAAAGGTCGTGAAAACCTACTGTTTCCCCCCCGCTTGCTCAGCTGCCTTCCCTACGGCGCCCCTTCCGCCACCATCATGTGAACTATTCGTTCCACCTCTGAAACGTTTGCGACTTTCCCCAGATGAACCGGATGTGTGTTGACCACTGCCGCCCCAATTGTAACTATTTTCTTGGCTGAATTGGCGAGGGATGTGCGGTTCTTGAAAGGAGTTCGGATGTACTCCGTTGAAGGGGTGAGAGTAATGGTTGTAACTGGGGTTATGATGTTCCCCTTGGTTAAAGTAGTTGTAACCTTGCCCCCAACCTTGACTTTGATTATTCCAGCGCTTCTCTCTCCTTCTTTCTTGGTGGTTACCACGACCGAAACTGTTGTTGGGGGGGGTGATGGTTGGACGGGTAGGACGACGATTTAGTTAAATCTGGACGTTTTGCGCCGGTGTCCGGATCGTAAGCGGCGTGTGACGCCCCTGGGGCGTACAGATTGTCTTTCCAACTAGCTTCTCCGTAAGAGCGTACGAGACTGTAACATTGCTCCACCACAACTGACTGTTTGACAGAAATGTCTGGTACTGCTGCCCCATCTTTGGAAGGAACTCGGTGGGCGAAAGCGTTCATTCTATTTGCATGTCGTACCGGAATGCCGTCATGAAGCCGTAAACGTCCCGATATTGCGTCGCAATTTTCTTTATGAAGCCTTAACTTTTCCGCAAAAATGGCCCTTATTGTAGACGTCCCTCAATGTGATGTAAAAGGCCCGATGATTATTCGTCCAAGCAGAATGTGACTGAGTCCATTCATCGTGATAAGCCAGTCCTCTGTATGCCTTATCTTCAGAGTTCTTTGATGGCTTCAGCATCAGATGGGCTGTCAAAGCTTTCTTTTGCCATTCTGAATTCGCAAACAACCGAATAACAGTTAGGGCCTGAAAATGATATCACGTTGGTTGGGTTACGGGTTACTCACCTCTATCAAAAATGGTTAACGGTAAAGGGGCTTTTAGTTTTCTTATGTTATCATCGAAATATGGAGTGAAGCCAATATCTTGGTGGCTAGTAACTGTGCCGACGGCGTAGATTAGATTATCTTCTACCTCTGTCTCCGCTTCGACTATCTTCTTGGGAGCTGGCACTTCTGACGAGCAAGTTAAGATTGGAAGGGCCGACAGGGATCTGGTCAACTTCAGTGGAACATCAGCTGGAATTGGTTCTAAGTCGTTGTACGCTTTAAGGAGTATCTTCGCCAACAGGTTGTCGCCAACGGTTTGCGCTTCTTTCATCTTCGCCCAAACGTGAGAGCGTTCGGCGGCTAAATCTTCCTCTGCTGGGGTTGACGTATTCGTGATGACTTCTTTCATCGTCTCTACTGATAGGACTAGTGGTTACCAATTAAGACAGTACGTCAAAATCGGAAGTAAAATTATCGGAAATAAATAACGAGGTGGTCTGAGGAGTTTACTCACTCGGGTTCTTTGCAATCAGGTCAATGGACCTCTCTTCTTCGCTATCGTGCGGTTCGCTAGTGGGGGCTATCACGTTTATTTCTGCTCCCTTTGGGGGGTTGCCACTGCCAGCGCCTCCTGGAGGTACCTCAGGCTCTTTGCGTGCGTTGGTTTTAGACCGAGTCGTCTTATTGCTCTCCATCTCTCTGGATATGTCAAGGAAAATTAATTGGAGAATTTGTTTTAACGGATGATTATTGTTTTGAAGAAAATTAATTTGATGTGGGTCCTTTATAAGCTCACAGTTAACTAATGAGAACTAGTTTGAAGACTGGAAACGTCGGAGGACAGCGCAACCGTTCCGGAAAAAAGTCTTTAACGTCAGGGTTGTACAAGCCTGGAAATGGAACGTCAGGGATGTAAAAGCGTAACGTCAGGGATGAAGTCCTGGAAACGATCACGAGAAAAGGGAAACGCACTTGCGTTTGGTGATGAGAAAGAATCAGAGAGATTAGCATTTCTCTAGACTAGTTGACACACCCAATTTAATCGATCTATTGGTGATGTCTTTCATTTTACATGACGAACTGTTACTTTTGATGAAAAGGTTATCGTCCACCCATCTAAATATCTTAATAACGTCAAATTCGTGCTCCATGATGCGTTTCCACGCGTCCGCGGGTACGCCAAAAGAGCCGCACCCAGCGACCCCGCCAAAAGTGATTCGGGTGTCGACGTAAAGTCCTCCACTTGAGTCTTTCACCATTAAAAAAGGCCATTGTGACATCTGGGTCGGGATTTGTCTATACGCTTTAGCCCAGTCAAACAATGCAAGCTTATAAGTATTTTTATTGTTCCTAAAAAATGACGATACGGTTTTGAAATCGTCCCATGTTGTCGGGAAATCTAGTTTGTCCACAAAGGAATTAACGGACTTGATTTCATCATCGTTTTTTGGGTAGGATAAATTATTAATTGGCCGCATTTTGCCGTCGGCGTTTACGACTGACCCTAGGGGGCTGGTCCTGAAGAAGGAAAATTTTTGTGCGACTTCTTCATGTGAGTAACGGATGATTATTGTTTTGAAGAAAATTAATTTGATGTGGGTCCTTTATAAGCTCACAGTTAACTAATGAGAACTAGTTTGAAGACTGGAAACGTCGGAGGACAGCGCAACCGTTCCGGAAAAAAGTCTTTAACGTCAGGGTTGTACAAGCCTGGAAATGGAACGTCAGGGATGTAAAAGCGTAACGTCAGGGATGAAGTCCTGGAAAAGATCACGAGAAAAGGGAAACGCACTTGCGTTTGGTGATGAGAAAGAATCAGAGAGATTAGCAGAGACGCGGTGACGGCTATGGTTAGCTACGAAGTCTATCGGTCAACTAGTCTAGAGAAATGCTCCGATTTCGCCGACGAACAAAAATTTATTGGTTTTATCTGGAACGGAGAAAACAAGACGGTCAGGTTAACAGACAAGAAGTTAGCGGAAAGAAAAGAGCAAATAAAGCTGTTCCTCATTCAAGACGCAGATTTCAAGTTCAACGACGCCGAAGTACTCGCAGGCCGCCTTAACCACGTGTCCTTCATCCTACCACAGTTGAGGTGCTACATTCGGAGCATATACAGATGGATGAACCAGTGGAAGAAGCAATGGGCCACTAGGAAAATTCCAGAAGACGTGAGAGTCGATTTAGAATTTTGGATATCAACTCTGGACACTTACACGGAGACGAGGTTGTGCCCAGCCAGCAAACCACTAGAGGTACATTGGGTCGGCGATGCCTCAACAAGCTTCGGTATAGGTGTCTTGATCGGCCAGAGATGGACCCAACTTAGGTTGAAGGAAGACTGGAGGATCGCGACACCACCAAGGACGATAGCCTGGTTGGAAACTGTCGCTATCCGCATCGGAATCCTGATGCTACGAGAAACGCGCAATAACATAAAGGGGTCCAACTTCATCGTATATACAGACAACACCACCACAGAAAACGTACTAGCGTCAAGGAAGTCGAAGGATCACCATTCTAACGAGGAATGGAAGATAATACAGCACCTGCTGATTTCATCCGAATTAGACTTGACCCCTTTAAGGGTGGTCTCTAAGGAAAACGTGGCCGACGGCCTATCAAGAGGCGTGCGACGCCCTCACGAGGCGGTGAACAGGGTCTGGATAAACATTCCCGACGATCTTCAGCATTTCATGTTTCACGCGTAACAGTTATTGTCACTTGTAAATATAACCATGTCCCTCAAGAGCCGTTTTTGTTGCGGTTTTGTTACCTCCCATCGCGACATCGTTTTTCACATCTCCCCCCGTGTAGCACAAATGTTATCCAATAGACCTAGCGATATTATTTTCCATAAAATCAATTTTTTCCTCCGCGATGGTACAGAAATAAAACAACCCACAAGAACCAACATCCATATACTTTCAGCGTGGAAATCCTCAACCCTGACAAGCTATAACAGCGCAGTCACAAAGTTCATCCAGTTCCAGAAGAGTGGCGGGATAATATCTTTCCGTTTGCCGATCACAGGGAAAACGCTTGAAGAGTTTTGCATTTGGGCCGGGCGAAACGCAGTGACCTCGAACGCAGGGAAAATTTCTGCATCTTCTCTGCGAAAGTACATCGCAGGATTGAAAGCCTGGCACGTATACCACGACGTCGCTTTCCCGACCGTCAACAAAACGCGGATAGATCTGATTTTGAAAGCGTCGAGTAGGGAGGACGAAACATTGACGAAGCAACCTGCTAAGTCCCCAATTATGTTCTGGCATATGTCGTACTTGTGGGTCAACCTGGTACACGGGGACGATTTCGACAAGGCGCTGTTAGACTTGGCGATCGTCGCATTCTGGGGGCTAGCCCGACTCGCAGAGCTAACTTACGCCACGGGAGGTGGTGTTTTGGATTTTGTGAGCTCAGTGTTAACAACGGACGTGACTTTGGGAGCGGACGCCGTGTTCGGGGAAACGGCAACTCTAACATTGCGGAACACCAAAACGGGCCAGCCAGGGCGCCCACAACTAGTCACGCTCGCTGAGCAAAAGCATGTGCTGTGCCCGGTCACAGCCATAAGACGTCGATTGTCTTCGGCAGAAGGGTCGAGGACGTCACTATTTGGCTACGGGTCGGGTGAACGAAGGCGACACTTAACCAGGACCCAGTCGGTCGCTCGCTTGGAATCCGTGCTGGCAAGCGGCGGTTTCACAGGCCTCAAAGGACACTCCTTCAGGGTAGGAGGCGCATCCTTCCGCGCGGCTTTTGGCATGTCGCACGCCGACATTTGCCTACTGGGTCGATGGAAATCAGACTGCTACAAGTTATATCTCAGAGAGTACTCCTCGGGCGACCTGTCGAAGACTAAAGCCCTTGTTAAGCAGTTCAAACGGAGTTGGACACGGATGGAATCTTGACGCGCGATTGTTCTCTGTAGATTTTTCCAGGGTCGTTAGGGGTTTTTTCTCTCCACAGATCAAGGCTCCCCTGAGGAAACCTAGACTTGCGTTTGGTGATGAGAAAGAATCAGAGAGATTAGCAGAGACGCGGTGACGGCTATGGTTAGCTACGAAGTCTATCGAAGAAGATGGGGGATACTGGGGGGGTCGTAAAGGTCCCCACTCTTATCCCATCTTCATGAGCAGATTCTTAGTGAGGCTGTCATAGCGCAGGGTACCCGCCTAGGTCTGTGCGCTCTGGACCAGCCTGGGTTTATCGCTAGCCGGCTGTTCCCCATGGACGACGGTGACAGGCTTGCCTTCGTCACTTCTCATCAAGACCAGAAAAGAACCTCAAATTGTGCCCTCAAACCTGGAGGGGTGACTAACAAAAGTTGTGCACACCCCAAGTTAGTCCTGCAATCATTGGTTGATACTCACTTCCAAGCATCAGGATTTGTGCTGTTAGAGGCATCACCAACACAAGCTAGAGGGAGTCACCAATTATACCCTGGGGTGCTTGGGTTAAACTCACTTAGGCTTGTTATAAGTAACATTTCTCACAGACTTGAACATCTTGCCAAACCCCCTGGAATTGTCAAAGTTTTGGCCAATAAAGAGTGATCATGGTTTGTGAAACAAATTTGCCCTGCCATAAGAGTCAAGATCTACTCAATATTCATCAAACATTTCTTTTGCTTCTACCTACCCAAACCCGTCTTGTAAGACCCTATCATGAAACTCCCCATTGGGTACTAACACATGCCATAGATTTTAATTTGCTGCTGCTTGCAAGGATGTCAATCCATGGAAAATCTAATTGGTGATTTCACTTTGATCCTTCTTGTCTTTCCATCACTAAAGATGACCTCTCATCCTTCTTTTCATCACTGATTTTGAATGTAAAAAATCAACAGCACATAGTACAGAACCAAGAAGGGACATTGAAAATTCAGCTTTGAAATTGAATACAGAGACAGCCATTGATCAAGACTTCTTTTTTCTTAAGACAGCAGAAGAAGGACCAAGGGAATCTACCAAATCTGTAAATTGGTTTTGTAAAAGAGACAGCATTTTCCCAGAAATTGGTAAGTGTAAAGGTTATACTAGGGGGTATCAAATATGAAGAATCTGAAAACTTAAACCCCCATTTTCTTCTAAACTCTTGAACCATTTTTAATGAACAATTATGGAAAGTAGAAGTTTAATATGATGTATCTTTATTATTACACTTCATCTGGAAAAATCCATCAGACTAAGAGAAAATGGTACTTTAATCTTTGAGAATTTTCATATTTGATACCCCCTACTCTGATTTTAATCACAATCTTACTCAGTCAAACAACTTTCTTGCTTTCCTTTTTCTTTCATTCTTCAATTTGAAATTTTAACTTGGACTCAATTCCATGGGCAAAGAATATGTGATTGGACATGATTTCATTTCCATGATTTTTTTTGTTGGCTAAGACAAGGGAATTCTTCTATTCAAATGTTCTACCATCAAATTATATGAATTTTAAAGGTAAAAGAGGATTATTGGGAAAGTATTGAAAAGTTTTATCCATTCTTTCTCAACTATATGTACAGGCAAGACATGATATCTAAGAACAGTTTAAAGGAGTTTCATGAGAAGAAGATGCAAGAAAGTTGATGTGACCTTCCATGTTTTCAAAGTATAAATTCAAAGATGATAATATCCACAAGTTCCCAGGATATCCAACAGATCATAAAGAATCATCAAGAGTCTACAATTTATCAGAAAATCAAGATCTTGGATTAAATGTTGGATTCAGTATGCAGCTAATAGATTTTTTTCTATTTTCTTTAGGGCAGGCAACTAAGATACTTGAAATTTATATATGCCAAGATGCTTGTATAGTATCATTTTTGCAGTCATGATTAGAAACACACAATTTGGAGTGAATTAGTGAAGAGTGATGCCCCATTTTCACAGATGGAAAAATTGAAATCAAGAGACAAATCAGAACCATCCTACATACATGAAGACACACACTTCATTACATCAAATACAAACATTCAAAATCCAGTAAATTCAGTTCAAAACAATTCAAATTCAAATTGTGATTCACAGAGAAGAAGGGCTGATTATCATTTTGTTGAATTTATAGAAGAGAACTATCACACTGATATTCTTGAGCTTCAAGAGGGGTATTTATTAGGTTTGTCACTTCGTTTTGTCCATTCAAAATGGAGGAATAAATGTCCAAATCCTCCATTTGGAATGTAAAAATGGGGCTCTGTTGGATTCTACACAGATTCATAGTATCTGGTCTTTGAATAGAAACCTGTTTGTGTTGACTGACATAAGATCTCACAGTGTTTGACAGTCTTGCCCTGAACTATGTATAAGGGTGATGATGCATTTACCACCAGATTTTTTGGCGGAAAATGTGGCCTTGAGAGAGCTTGATTGTTTACAGATAGTTTCCACAGCCCGATTTTATTCAGGAGCAGGAGCAGATATCAAAGATTTGGAACATACAATAATTATCCTATGATCCTTGTGATTTCAATAGTACCAGAGGTGAGTTGTGTCAATGAGTGCTAGTGGGTACTATGGGGGAGGGGGAGTTATTCACAGCCAATTGGACAGACTCTGTAGGGCAAGACTTGCCACTTTGGATGCAAGTCCCTCCTTTGGAGGGACTTTGTGTTAAGTTTGCTGGAAATCTGGCTTCTGTAATGTGGGAAATTGGGAATTTTGGTGTGCATGGCACACCATTTCAGGTGGGCCAATCTCCAACTTGAAAATTGCAAATTAACCTCAAGATTGGGGCTGTGGTCCGGGCCCTGAATATTTCCTCTGCTCTAGTTTCAAATACCAGTTATTCATGAAAACCTTGTTTTCTGTGGCAAGGAGTTATTATATCCAACTTGACTAAGTCCCTGCCCCCATTTGTTGGAATGGTAAATCACTTGTTGCATTGCACCAACCGGAGGGAGGGACTTTCTAAAGTCAACCCCACAGCCTGAGAGCATTTGGATCTTTGGCTGGGAGTGAAGAGACCGGGTGATGAAAAAACCTCAAGGAAAAGCTCAGAGGGAAAATGTTGAAACTCCCTGTGATCTGTCTGTGAACATCAACTCTGAATCCGCATCGCTGAACCACCGCAGCACGTATTCATATGTCAAACCTAATCATATCTCAACCACAAGTGCAAACCTAAATAATCCTCACTCTCTCAGGTATAAAAAGGCCTCCATCTTCTCACTTCTTCCAACTCATCGCCAGCTTCTCATCCACCAACTTGCCAGCGACTCTTCTCATCCACCAACTCACCAGCGACTCATATTCAAGATCTCAACCAACTCATCCTCTCTCCGATATCGACCTCAGTCAATAACACCAAATTCATCCTTCTTCGACCTTGTCAAAGAACTTGTCAAATAGTGGTCCCGGCAGCCACGGTGTGGTGTTCTAAACGGTACAGGCCCCCTCAAGGTCCAATTTCAGAATTCAACTTTCAAATTTTCAATATCCTCAAGACTCAATATTTCAATATTATCACCTCAAATCCCCACTCAGTCCAATGGTTTCCTCATTTTATTATTTTATTTCATTTCCTCTTATTATTTGCTCTTCATGTTATTTTTTATTCATCTTGATTTTATTTTATTTTTATTTTTTATCATTTTATTATTCTTACTTATCTCTTTCAAATCATTTACTCAGAAGACAGTGTTGTTTCTTATTTCTTGGTCCTAAGACATAGTTTCATTTATGTTGGTTTATTCTGATCTTGTTTGTTTGTTCTATTCTGTGTTCTTCTTTTGTTCTTTTGTTGTGTTGTGTGTGTTGTGTTGTGTTGTCTTTGTTTTCTGGTTGAGTTGTGTGTAGTTAGGGATGTGATGACATGTCTGTGACATGTCACTCCCCAGAGTCAAAGTTCAGTTTGAACTGAGATGATGGGGAGGCATGGCATTCTGTTCTGATCCAAGATAGACCCATCAAATTTTATTGATCCTTTCATTCTTGATACTTCTGATCCACCTACATATCCTCAAGTTCACTCAAACTCAACAACCGCCACAGAAATCGATTTCTGTTGTCTCCTCTCAGAAAACCAGCCAACCCCAACGCTTTTTTTGTTCAGATCACAGCTCACTCATCCGGACCCACTTGAAGGCAGCCCTCAAAGCACCATCCCTTCAACCAACTGCCTACCGCCTGGCACGATAGGAGTTCCACATTTGGTCCCCCGAGCCGGGATCGAACCAGCGACCTCAAGATTTACAGTCTCGTCTTACTTGGTCTTCTTTCAGGCGACAGGTGCTCTAACCTTGAGGATTTCTAGCGTCTGGCTTTCGTTTCAGGACCTCTAGCCTCCTTTCAGGACCTCTAGCCTTGTTTCAGGATCTCTAGCTCTGGTTTCAGGACGTTTTTTTTTAGGTTCGCTTTTGGTTGATAACTTTGATCGCTTATATCCCGCGCGCTGTTTGTTTTCGTGGAAAGGCGTCGCGTCAAACTTGTAGAGCGGATCCGTGGCTTGTAGCTGAAATCAAGATCGTCAGAATCGGCCCAGCGGTTCAAAAGTTATCGCCCTTGAAAGTTGGACCTCGGTTTTTCTTGGATTATCTTTGATCGTCTACATATCGCAAACCGTTGGGAATCTTTCTACGTCGTCGCGGACAAAGTTATAGAGACGAATCGTGGCTTTCTTTTGATCCAGAACTTAGCGCAATCGGACGAACGGTTCAAAAGTTATCGCCCTTGAAAGTTGGACCTCGGTTTTCCTTGGATTATCTTCGATCGTCTAGATAACGCAAACCGTTGGGAATCGCTTTACGTCCTCGCGGACAAAGTTATAGAGACGGGCTTTCTTTTAATCCAAAAATTAGCAAAATCCGACCACGCATTCCAAAGTTATCCCACCTTCAACTTAACATCCCCAATCTCTTTATTCCTATCTTTGACGTCAAATATCTCGTGACCAATCCGTTTTTGAGCATCGTGATCGCAGACAAAGTTTTAGCTCTCGATCATAGCTTTCATTTGAGCCCGCAATCGCGTCGATCGGACTTCTCTTTCAAAAGTTATTCCACCTCAAAGTCAACATTGGACTGAAGAGGTTTGGGACACATCCTAGTTTTTGGATCAAGATCGTTGGATTTCTGTTCTGTTTTTTCTTTATTACGCGTGGGGCACAGGAGAGATAGAAGTAAGTCCCCTCCATAGTTGCACCTCCGAAGCTCTTCTACATAGGGGGTTGATAAGCGCACGCCAACCCCCAAGGCGCACGCCAATCTGCACGCCACTTGCAGATTGGCGTGCAGGCCCACACGCCAAAGCAGTTTGGCGTGCAGGTCCTCAACACATATTCATATGGGTTTAGGACCTGGACGGTCGTGCAGCTCCTACACCCCATATGAGTATGGGAATAGGACCAGGGCTATCCC